GTATTTTTTTCCATTACCTTTTATCCCCTTATCCCTTTATCGTTTATCCTTTTCCACCTCTACCCCACCCCTAATCCCACAGTTACCATACTGTTGTCCATGTCCATGAGTCCTTTTTCTTTTTCCGTTGTTTTTTTTTTTTTTTTCCCTAGAGAGAGAAGTGGGGGAGAAAGAGAGGGAGAGAATCATCAATATGAGAGAAACAGATCGGTTGTCTCTTGCACATGCCCTGACTGGGAAACAAACCTGCAGCCTAGTCATGTGCCCTATCTGGGAATCACATCCACAACACTCTCCAGGGCTCAGCTGTTTTATAATCTGCTTTCTTCCCACGAGTCATATTTTGAACAATTTCTATGGTATTGACTATTACCTTACTACTAAATTTGTAAGTACTCAGAATTACTGCTTTACAGAAATCTTACATTTGTTTAACCTGCAGTTGTATGACTCAGAATACTGAACATTGCTTGAGAATATACTTATCTCTGAATGTATTGATTTTTGATTGATGTGTATACAGGAAAATTTTATGTTTACATCCATGTGATTCAATACATTTTAAAATATGACACATAGGAAAAGTTTCAAGCTACCTCAGAAATACAATTACTGGAACATCAGAATTATGTAAATATTTCAACTAGTATGTGGATTGGCATATCAACAAAACGGATGTGCGTATGTTCATGATACTAAGAGAGGCCATGTAATTGCGCACAAAGCAACTAGCTGTTAATAACTATAATATTGTTTGATGATCATCAAGTGATGTTTTAAGAAATTTTTGTCCAAATATAATAGTTTATTAGTTATATATAGGTGTTTTATTCTGTTTATGTTTTAGGAAATAATTTGGGGTTTTTGCATTAATGTGATACATTTTATTTTTCAAATTTTAAATATTGGGGAAAAGGCTTCTGGTTAGAGATTTTACTCAGAAAGATTGCTTTTTCAGGAATAGTTAAGGTGCAGAGACCTGTATAATGTCTAGTTCTCATGACCTGGCAACTTCCTCCAGTCCCCCAGTCTCCCAGTCCAGATCCTGTGTTTATAGTCTCTAAAAAAGTAAGAATGTCTGTCAATTTAGAGATAGGGAAAAATCCAGTGAAGTAGTGTCAAGCTTTACTAGGTGTTATATAGACGGCCAAATTTTGCTCAGAAGGATTTGTATTATGCAAAGATTTGATGTTAGAAATCTAGAGGGGCATGGTTTTTCTAGGTCAAGATCAACTTTTCTTATTATTCCTAATCTGCCTTTTTCGGGCCTTTTGTTTCACATTGTGGGTTTGTGAAAAATCCCTTTGAGATGTGTAGAGTTGGAAATAGACCTCTGCTGTCATTCCTGTAGCTTCCTTTTTTTTAATTGCCTTTCTCATATTGACAAAGGATCTGAGTCTGAGTTTTGATATAGAGTATAACTGAATTAGTATATTAGTTAGGACAAGCTATTATGTTCTGATATCAAACAACCCCAATCTCAGTGACTTACAAAACAACTTTTTATTTCTTGCTTATGTTGCATATCTAATGTAAGCTAGCATAGACAGGGTCCCAGACAAAATGAGACTCTACCAACTTAGCTGTACCACCCTGAAACACACAGCCTCCTTTGCCACCACATCTATTGCCATCACAGAATAGAAAGATTAGGGAACTGTGCAGTCTTTCCGGTGCCTCAGACTGAAGTGGCATATCACCTCAGCTCATATTTAACTGACCAAAACTAAATTATGGCCCTGCCTAACTAGTAGGGTCTAAAAAATGTTATCTTCTGTGTGCCCAGAAGGAGAGGAAAACTGGATAATTGGAAAACTGGACAATGATGATATAACATTAGTAGTAAAATTAGTAATATCTACCACACTAGCTAAGACCCATTTCTTTTTCTATATGTAAGAAGCTGCTTCTGTATATTAGGTGTGATTTCTCTTTGTAGCAAGGACATCCTGGATTGTGGCGAGAGGATTAACAAGAGGCCTGTGCACAGGTGAGCGAGGGGACTAAGGAACCAGGAAGCCATTCATGCAAAAGTTCACCTCTTCTATGCGAACTGAGAAACTTTGAGTTACTTGAGTTACTTACTGAAAGGCTAGAGCTATGGAGAAAATTGAACTCCTTCAGCATGCAAGTTCGCAAAGTCACCTACCTCACTGTCACTCATGAATTACTCCATTCATATTTACTTTTATAATACACCACCCCCCATTAAGAAGGAAGGGATTAACTATTTAGGATTATAAAACATGCTTAAGGGGAAACTTGAAAATACAGGGGAAAAAAACAAGATGCCCCATAATTATACACCTAGAGACAAATGTGAAAATTTAATTAAAAAGGTTTTCAGTTCATCTTTTATTCATACACATGCATAAACACACACACACACACACACACACACGAAATCTGTCCAGAAGGTATCCAGTCATGTACTATGAAAAACAGACATTTATTGAAGAAGATACAAGGTACAAGAAACATTGTACATCGGACAGTGACACCTCAGTCCCCTTCAGAGTAGGCACCTTGGGTCCTCTCACCATTCTCCCATTGTCTCTTCCACTGTTCAAAACTGAAAAATCCTTTTTTGGTATCGCCATCAGCTGCCCCGTCATATTTCCCTGAATCTCATCAACGGTCTGAAATCTCTTCCCTTTCAAAGGTGATTTTAGCTTTGGGAAAAGCCAGAAGTTACAGGACTTCAAATCTGGGCTGTAGGGGGCCTGAGTCATTTGGGTGATTTGATGTTCCACCAAAATAGTCTGCACAAGACATGATACATGAGTGGGTACGTTGTGATGAAGCTGCATATCACCAGTTGCCCATAGCTGCGGCCATTTTCATCGCATTGCATCTCTCAACAGACAAAGAACATGGAGGTAGTACTCCTTATTGTTTCTCCTGGAGGGGCATACCCATGACCAACAACACCCTTCTAATCAAAAACAACAGTTAACATAGTCGTGATCTTGCTGCAACTTTGCTGTGTCGTCTTCGAGTGTGGACTACCAGGCAACTTCCATTGAGACTATTGGGCCTTTATTTCTAAATCATAGCTGTAGACCCCTCATTCATCTCTGGTTATAACCTTGAGGAAATCTGGTTCATTGATAGCGGTTTGAATGAAGTCATTAGCAACTGCAGCATGATGTTCCTTCCGCTCTGATAGCAGAAGCCACAGAACAAATTTTGCTATGGCACATTTCATGTGCCATATGAAATCCTGCATCAAAATCTTGGACACAGTAGTTTTTGGAATCCCCAGATCAGCTTCTGGTTCTTGCACTATCAGTCGCCCATATTTGTTGGTTGCAGCCTCTACCCATTCAACATTCTCAGGTGTTCTGCTTGTTGCAGGCCTTCCAGAACATGGATCCCTGTCAACCGATTCTTGACCCATCTTTGAAGCATTTGTGTCACACTTTTATTTGCACTGCACTCATTGCATCGTCCCTGAAAGCCTTCTGAGTTATCTGAATATTCTGTGGAGGAATGCTCAAGCTTAATGCAAAATTTGGTGTAGATATGTTGTTCTGCTCTCTGAGTTATTTTGAATGTGACAGCCACACAGTACACATGTTCACTCAACAGTGCCCCCAGTACAGTGAAGTTGTCATTGTTGATGCATGTGCATTCCAGTCCACTCTCCTTCGCTGCCAGGTTACACTGATGTGCAAACCATTCTCATTACATTTACCTTAGATGTGCTTTTTCCAGGCATACCTCGTGTATATACTTTTTCCTGTAAAATAGGCTTTCATTACACAGGGAAGGACAAAAACAGGTTTACAGTTGTGAGTATGAGAAACAGTTTATTCTTATTATTATTAATTATATTATTTTTCACACAAGCAACTGGAAATCTACATGTGCCCCACCCTCTACTGTTTTATTATTATGGGCCTTATTCACTCAAGGTTGTTTTTTTGACATATTAACATTGGCAAATATGTATCATTTTAAGGTCAACAATGTTTCCATTGTATGGATACCCTATAGTGTATCTAATCAGTCCTCTTTTGTAGGCTATTTAAGTTCTCTCCAAGCTGTTCCATTGTCAACAGGGTCTCCATCATATACCACACACACGTCTGTTGGATAGAGCCTCAACTATGAAATTGCTTCATCAGAGTACATGGTGGTTTAATTTCTGCTAACATTGCCTTGTTGAAAGCTTATACTAGCTACAGCCTACTGTATGTGTCCATTGCCTCATGTCATGCTACTGTGGAGTGTCATCAGTCTTTTACATTTTTGCCAAATCGGCAACAAAAAAAGGTATTGTTGCTTTAATGTGGTCCCTTCATTACTGAAGTTTAAGAACTTTTGGTAGGTTGAGCCACTTTATTATTTAGTGAATTGCCCATGCATAGCCCTTGTTCATTTATCTAAAATTACTGCTTTTTCCTGAAAATTTAATTTTAAAAGTACTAGCTGTGAAGGGTTTTTATTGTTTTTCTGACTTGCAAGTTAAAGATTTTTTTCCATTTTATCATTTATTTGCCTTTTCATGTCTATTTTAGTATTTGGGTGTAGAATTTTTTATCTCGATTAAATATTTTTTTCTTTTTGTTTTTCTGTCTGTTATGTCATGTGTACACAAAATATAAATACATTATATTTGTCTGAGATACTTTTACAGTTGTTTAAGTTTGTATAGTAAATACTTTATCAAGTTAGAACTTCTATTTGGCTTATGACCACAAAAAAATAGGCTGAGGAATTTCTCCTTTGATAAATATGTAAGGTTTTCATTGTCATCTTGTGCATTCATTGCAGTGTTTGAGTGCCTCCCATGCAGTGTTTTATGTCTTGACAAATTAATAATGAACAAAACTAACAAAATGCCTGCATTTAAGTTTAGTGGGAAGAGTCAAATAATTGCCAAGAAAATATATAATACAACATTTAGTAGCACCGAGAGCTATAAAAAAATAATAATAAAGCAGGGAAGGCTAGAGAGAATGGCAATTGGTAACATTTTAATAATGTGGTCACAGAGATGAAGTTTAAGCAGAAACCTTCATGAAGGGGGAAAGCAAGCTCTTTGACTACCTAGTGGAGGAACAGTCCAGAAAGAACACAAAAGCCTCTAAAGGGAACATGCCTAGTATCTTATGGTGAGTTCTAAATAGTCCATGGACATTTAAGTATAATGACTATCCTATTGGTAAGTACAATTTCAGAATCCTTACCAGGATGCATCCAGGTGTGCCTCTTAAGCTCTTAAGAATTCTTTTTAATTTAATGGTTCAAATATTTCACTTCCTCTAGAAAACACTTTATTCATTATTTCTCCAGCTGTTCTGTTATTTACTTTTATATGTATTTTATGTCTTCTGGATCTCTCTCTTCCATACCTCTGATCTTTATTTTCAGAATCCATTCTTCTGTATCTTTTTCCTCTGAATTAAGATGTTTTCTAAGGCTCCCCCAACCACCCCAATTTCTAAGCCATCTGGTACCTTCTCTGATAAGTAGTAGAAGAAACTATTGTCAGAACTGTTTCCTGTGGCAAAGCACTTACAAAAGGTTCTAGTTTCCTTCTCCTGTTAACCTCCAACTCTTTCAGTTGTCCCCTTGCTACTCTGGGATTTACTGTTAATTCCTTTATTAATGGCAGCGAACACAGGGAGCCAATTTACTCTGATGGAAATTTCCATGGGCATCAACATGAACACTTAGGTTTTATCCCATCTTTGATTTTACTAGCACTGTGGCCATGGGTGAATCTCATAACCTCTCAGGCATTCTAGCTTCTCTTCTGTATAATGTGGGGAATACAGTCAACTTTATTTAACCCACAGGGCAGTTGCAAATATAAAAGTAAATGAAAAGTATGTATGAATAGCACCACATCAACTCACCCTGGAATCCTGGGAATCATTTCTATACCTACATACTCTGCTTTCCCCAACACTTGGGTGCTAGTTCCCATCCCCTCTCTCCTACTCAAGATCATTGCCCTAGCAATTACCTCTTATGTTCCTGTCATATTAATCTCACTCTACTGGATTATTCCCATCACTGTGAAACATGCTGCAATTTATCCCACATTCAATACAAACAACCCTGCCTGAATCACATATCCACCTCTACATCTGTGTTCTCTATTCTTTTCACCACAGTTCCCTGAAAGGGATGACTCTCCTGTCTCCTTTTCCTGTCATTCTATTCTCTCTTGAACCCAACTCTAGCCATGCTTTTGTGTCCTCCAGAGAATCAGCTTTTGTCCAGATTTCTAATGATTTCTATAAGGCCAAATGAACAGTTCTCATTTTTCATTTGTTCACTGTTCTTACCTTCCTTCTTGGTATACTTTCTTCATTGGGCTTCCAGTGAAGCCCAATTCTCTTATTTTTCTTTCTATTCCACTGAGGTCTCCTTTTCAGACTTCTTTTTTCCTTTTCATCTCCCAGTTCTCTAAGCAAATTTGAGCCCTCCAGGCTCAGGTCTTGGACCTTTATTTTTAGGTTAAAAAGGCCAAGCCAACAAGCTTTTATTTGAGATCCAAATGGTTATTCAGGAAGCACAGATTCAGGCAGAAACCTGGATCAGTGTTCTGATTAGGTGACAGAGGCAAGAGGTAGTTATGAGAAAGGGAAGGGAGAAATTACATCAATAAAAAGAGGGCATTTCTATAGGTAGAGATTAGCTAACATAGTGATGCTAATTCTAAAGAATATTTTTAATTTTCAGTCCAGTAATCATTCTATCTCCTTTGCTGTTATTGTTGCAAACAGTTTTTTGTGATACAGTGTTGCTTTAAGCCCAGTCCAAAGGTTCTTTCTCCCAGTTCTAACATTCCAGAGACTTAAGGAGTAGGACTACAGGCAGTTCCTCTGGGATGTCAGTTCCATTTTAGAGTGGCTTCATTTATATTACTTTTTTTACAGACATTTTCCTTACTTTCACTCACTCTGTAGGTGGACTTATCTGGTCTCAGGGCTTTAAGTGCCATCTGTACATCAGTAATGTCCCATTTTATTTATTTTTAAAAAATATTTTTTATTGATCTTATAGGAAGGGGGGAGGAGGGAGAGAGAGATGTCAATTTGTTGTTCCACTTATTCATTCATTCACTGTTGCTGCTTGTATGTATCCTAGTTGGAAATTAATCCCGCAGCAACCTTGGCATACTGGGATGACGCTCTAACCAACTGGACTACCCAGTCAGGGCTCCAATTTTATATTTTATAAGTTTGAACTTTATCCTGAACTTCAGAACCAAATGTCTAATGGACACTTGACATTTCCACTTGGGTTTATAATAATAATCTCCAGTATTAAGTCTAAAACTGAACTCATAATAGTCACTTCAGACCTGCTTCTCTCACTATCCTTTGTGTTAAAAAAAAAAATGGCAACTTCATATTTCTAGTTGCTCAAGCCAGAAACCTTAGTGTCATCTTGGCTTTATATTTTTATATACCTAAAATTAGCAAATCCTGTCAGCTCTGACTTCAGAGGATGTCTAGACTCTGATCAGTTCTCATCACCTCCACCACCACCACCCTGATGCAAACCATCCTCACCCCTTGCCTAGATTACTGCAGTAACCTCACTGGTCTCCCTGCTTCCCCCATTTCTCTGTCCTTTAATGGTCCATTTTTCATGAGTGATCCTTTTAAGTCTAAATCATACCATGCCATTCCTTGGCCTAAAACAGTTCAGTACCTTCCTGTCTTACACACGAGTAAAAAGCCTAAGTTCCTACAATGACCTACAAACCCCCTGTGGTGCAATTTCCAGCTACTTCTCTGACCCAGATGAGCCTCTGACCTTTTTTCTCATATTCTTCATTCCAGCCACTCTTATCTCCTGTGTTGATCAAGGAAAGCCACTCCTGCCTTAAGACCTTTGCAATTGCTCTTCTCTCTGCTAGGAATGCACCTCTCCTAGATATCTATATTACTCACTCCATTTTTATGACACCTTCTCAATGAAAAACCTTCTCAGGCTACCCTCCATGCCTCCCAGATTCTCTATCCCCTTATTCTTTTTTTTGTTCCTCCATAATACTTTGGCCACCTGGAATATGAATAGCAATATCAGTGTATTTGCAACTGCCTTTTTCCATTAGAATGTGGGACCTACAGAGACTGGATTTATTATATTCTTCACAAATAGGACCATGCCATTTGAGGTAAGAACTTAGTAAATGTGGAATAATTCTTTACTACTCCTCCCTCTGCCTCCCTCCTCCTCCCTCCAAATCCAATTAGATACCAGAGCCTGTTGATTTTACTTATTCTCTACACCTGAATTCATCCCTTCCTTCTCATTTCCACTGTCATTAACTGTCCTGGGGTCAGATCCTTGGTATGCTTGGGATAGTACAAGCACCTTTCAGTTGATAGTCCTAACTTCAATTTTACTCCTCTCCAATAAAATAATCTGATCATATTGGCCTTATCGCTTCTTTAAATTCTTCAGTGTCCTTCCATTTATTAATGAATGAAAAGCAAACTTTTATATATTCAGTCAGTATTCATCAGTCATTTATATCCCTCAGACACCATGGCAAGTGTCAGTCACAGTGATGATGATACCTGGTCCTTGCTCTTATTTCATTCATACACCTTTATTTTCTAACCCCTAATGTAATCAATCTCCAGCAGTATCTTCCTCTGGGTTCTCAAGCTAATTAAATTTAAATTTGGCTTGATTAAAATTAAGTAAGAAGTTTAGTTCCTTAGTCAAATCGGGGCTAATGTCTACATTATTGATGGCACAGATTTCCATCATCACAGAAGGTTTATTGGCCAGCACACACTGGTCTAGACTTTTCCCAAACTATGCAAGTCATTCGAGATTATTCTCTGCTCCTCAAATGATCACTCGTTATAAACTTTGGTCCACTGTTTTGCCACTGTTCTTGACCCTTCTCAGAATGCTTTTTTTCCCCTCTTCTATCTATTAAAATTTTCTGATTTTTAGGTCCCAGATCATGTGCTGTATAACTTTTAGGAAATTTTCCTTGATGCCATCCCCATTGATTAAATTAGTGTTCCCTTTGACATCCCCACCACAGGAAGCTTCTTGCCCCTCTAATTAAAAACCAGTCTTGCTCTCCTTAAAACCCCTAAGATCTCACCACCTGGAGGTACAGGCCGTTCTCCACAGAACTCTAGCCTCAGCAACTGCCAGCCAGTGAGGAGGTGATGTTCTGCAGGAAAGCAATAGGAAGGGTTTAAATGAAAAATAAGTGCTGGGCCAAGAGACTGCTACAAATTGAGGTCCCACTCAGGTCAGTATTCTGGATGTGCAAGTGTGCTTATAAGATGCCTATATTATTGTGGTTTTCTTGTTCTGTATTACTATCTGGTAAGTCCAGCTAGGGCTTGGAAGCTTTGAGGACACCTATAGAATGAATGGTATGGTCCCTTTTTGCACTTAGAGAGTGTAGAGTTGGGGAGCTACCCCGGAGGTTTTGCTTGTTGAGCCCACAGAAGCTGAAAGACTTTGTTTAAAAATGTCTTTTTCACAAGGTTTGGCCTGCACAGGTATGCTGTGCTGGCACTGTCCTCATCCTTAGGTGTAAAGTGGGTGAATCTGAGTTACGATCTTCCTGCAGCTGCAAAGGAAGATCTGCTAGGAACAGGCAGCAGCTGCCTCAGCCCTGTCTAGGGTATAGATTAGCAGCAACAAGAACAGTGAATGTTCAGGCCATAATCCCTCCTGCTGAGGTGCATGGATTTTTTGGCAGTGCTGGGGCACATCTGCTTTGAACCCATCTTTTGGTTTCCTTAGGGTTTTAGAAGGGGCTGGGTTTTGTTAACTTTACAGTTCTTAGAATTATTGTTGTGTGGTGAGCCAAGGGGAGGGCAGGGGAAGTAGAGCAGGCACACTGGAAGATTAACTGTTTTTCAGCTCATCTCTTTCAGATTATTGAGGCAAGCTAAATTTATGAGAGATTTGCCCCTTCTCCCCCTTACTCTGCTTTTTCAGACCCTGTACCTGTCCAAGAGAAGAACCTAGAGAAATCTGAGCAGGTCAGGTAGTTCTAAAAAGCCATGGCCCAGGTAAGTTGAAATTCTCTCTGTACTTGAAGTACCCTGTCTTCCCTCCAGAGTACATGAACATGTGTCTTCTTTGTCCTGAAACTTCCCTGTCTGAGCTGAGCCCCACTCAGTAACCTGCCTCCAGTTCCTCCATTCCAGGGTATGAGTGATAGTGCCTCCCCTCCCTCAGTGGCCCTCTCCACCGGTGCTCATATACGTGCACAGTGCTTTTACCAGAGCACCAATGGAGCAGAGATAGGTTCTCTTGAGAGCCTTCCTTATTAGAACCATCGTTGAGTGGGGCCAAAGATAAGATAGCTTTGATCTTTTTAATTAACCTGGGTAGTTTCTCTTTTTTCTATTTTTAAGTGTCACCCCCTCTTTAGAAATGATAAAATATTTCACACTATCAGTTCTTCAGTCTGCAAAGGAATTTATGAGAGATGAATAACTGTAAAATGGTCCTTTGAGGATGAACAATCTGTTGGTTACGGGCCACATTTATGGGACTGAGGTACACCTTCCCTCAGCTCTCTTATTTTAGGAACAAGGAGGAGTAGACAGTGAAGGGTGATAAATACTCATAAATCTTGCTTAAGCTAAATGCCCTCAAGATAATGGAATGATTATATCTTATAGGATATAAAGTGCAATATTATGTACCTGTGTTCTTTATAAAATTTGCCATAACCAAAAATTGCTCATGATATCTAGCAAACAGAAGCAGTGGGAACACTGTTGTCATGTTCAGCAGCATAGTTCTTTGTTGTACGGGATTGTCCAGGGTAAATAGCACAGCTAATTCAGGGCACTTAACATTCCTGATGCCAGCCAGTGCTAATGTCAGCACGCTGCACCACCACCAACTCTCCCCACCACCGCCCAACCTCCCCCAATGTTGTGAAAACCAGCTGACCCTCTGCATGGACCCAAGTGTATCCTGAGTGGGAAGGTATAACCCAAGTCGAGATCCACAGACTACTTATCACCCTGAGTCTTCAGGATAGATTTTAAACTTCTCTATGTCCTCTATTTTAAGATAGAGACTTATAAGATGTTGTGGGTTCTCTCTTTTTATCTCAATGGAGAAAAAAATGGTAAGAGGAGATGCATTTTTAAAAACTTTATTATTTGCTAGACCCATGTTTGCTACATGTTTTGTTTATGTTTATTTATAAGACCTACTTAGCTAGATTTTGCTTATTCCCAGACCGTGTGGAAAATAGCAGAGATCTTTCTTATCTGTAGCCACAGGAATATTTGAAAGCATGTAGGCCTTTCATCATGTACATTTGCTTCTTATACTTCCTTCCTAGCATAGACATTCAGCCTAGGCTGCTGGCTTACTTCATCACCTCCTTCCTATAGCAGCTTTCTCTTTCCACCTTAAAGACATTTTCCTGGATGGATCAGGTTAAAACTTGAACCTACTCATCAATTTTAATCTCATTAAAAATGGGACAGCCAGTTATTATTGTCTCCTATTGGGACACTACAGGAAGTACACAGGACCACCTCTACCATATTCACCCTCCTCAAAAAAAAGTCAGGCCTCCAGAAACCCCTTTATTTTATGTGAAAGGTAGTAACATTTCACAGAAAATAAAGAAGTAGAATGTGTTAAACTACATCAGAAGATGAAGTCAGCCAAATCTAAAATGTGGGAAATTGTCCTGATTTAAATGGGTTTATTTTTTTATTTTTTTATTCATTTCTAGAGAGAGGGGAAGGGAGGGAGAAAAAAAGAGAGGGAGAGAAAAGTCAAGCGGTTGCCTCTCACATGGCCCCAAACAGGGACCTGGCCCACAACCCAGGTACATGCCCAGACTGGGAATTGAACCCAGTGAACTTTTGGTTCACAGGCCAGTTCTCAACCCACTGGGCCACACCAGCCAGGGCTAAATGTTTCTTAATAAATAGATAGCAATAAAAATTTGGAAGGGCCTTTGGGGACTGTTAGAGATTTGACAGGTTTTAGAAAACGTATCAACTGAACACAGTATGTGGATCTTGTTTGAATCCTGATTTAAACAAATCAACAGTGTAAAAAAAATCACTTTTGAGAAAGTTGAGGCAATTTGAAACTAGATCTGGCTACTAGATAATTATTGTTAATGTTACTAATTATGATAATGATATTCCAGTTATGCTTTAAAAAATCGAATCTGTTAGATACTGAAGTATTTGTGGGTGAAATACTATGATGTTTGGTATGTGGTGTTTGCCACAGATACACCAGAGGTAGAAAATGGAAAGAAAGAGATGAAACCAATTTGCAAACTCTTAATTGTTGAAGCAGAGTGATGGATTTATGGGGGTCATTGTACTATTCTCTATACTTTTGTGTTTTGAATTTTTTTTGTAATAAGTGAAAAAATTAAAAAGTCCTTTAATTTTACTACTAATGCATATGGGTTTATTGTTTCAGGGATTGGTGACATTCAGGGATGTGGCAATAGAGTTCTCTCAAGAAGAATGGAAGTGTCTGGAACCTGCCCAGAGGGATTTGTACAGGGATGTGACTTTGGAGAACTTCAGTAACTTGGTCTCAATAGGTAAGGATATTGTATAATCAGGGCCAGACAGAAAAAAGGCTCCCAGGGATTCTAACAGTGGGAGGCTGTTACCAGCTCTGGCCAGAAGGGGTAAATGGAGGAAAACACTGCCCATGGAATATTGTGGAGAAGGGCCTGGCTGGCTAGCAGCAGCTGAAGTTACTTCCAGAACTCCTGCGTCAAAGGATGGAGGGAGAAGGATAAGAAATAGCCTGAACTCTGTTTCCTCCTTACTGCTGATCTCCTGCTGACACTTTCCATTTGCCAAACCCAATGAAAAATGATGTGACCAGTATACTACAGTCCTTTACAAGGAAGCTGTCCAGAACACAGAGCAGGGTCAGGAACAACAAGAAATGGAAATGGAAGTGGGTAGTCCCATTGGCACCTCCATCTTCCCATCCTTTGGACAACCTTCATGCCTTCCTTTATGTAACTGCCTCTCTTCCTTGATGACTAAGAGACTAGGTTTGAGATTTGGAACAGCATGATCATTCCCCATATCTCTTCCTATAAACAGGACTTTCTTTTTCTAAGCCTGATGTCATCTCCTTATTGGAGCAAGGGAAAGAACCCTGGATGATTGCAAATGATATAACAGGACCATGGTGCCCAGGTGAGCAAGGCTTGATCCAGTGAGGGAGGCCATTGGGAGTAACAGCCCACTGGGTGAGTCAACTGATAACAGTAACTTGAGCTATTGTCAGGAAATTTCCCCTCAAAGCTCTAACAAAAACTGAGGAAAATAAAAGCCTAAGACATGAAGAGCAAAGACCTTGTCAGCCTCAGCTCCCAAAGGAACCTTGTCCTTACCCCGATTAATTCCTCTCTGTTCCTCTCTCATATTTTTATCCCATTTCAAAAAAAGAGACTCCCATCTTCCCCAGAGGCAACCGTTTTACCTATATTTTGGATCCTTTTTTCTGCAAAGGGTCTCTTCATCCCTTAAAAAATACTTATTTTTAAAACAGCTTCTCACTTTACCTAATTCCGCAATTCAACTCTAAATTTTTAGAGGTAAAAATCTGTAGTGGCTGAGGACAGACTCTGGAGTCAGACTGCCTGAGTTCAAATCCTGGCCCTGCCACTTACTACATTTGTGAATTTAGGTAAATTATATACATTCTCTGTGCTTCAGTTTTCTCCTCTGCAAATGGGATAAAAATAGTGTCTTAAGTAGTTATTGTGGCTTTTGTATGTATTAATAATAATGTGGAAATTCCTAAAACAATGCCAGGAAATCATGACCAATAAATGTTAACAAATATTATTAATTGGCAATTCCTAGATAGTATTGGAACTTTTGAATACTTATTAGCTACCCTGCTCCTAACTAATCTCCTGTTGCTGTCATTATTTATTCTCCATCTGAGATCATTTTTTTCTCTATCTGGAAGAACACCCTTAAAATTTTCTTTTGTGAAGGTCTGCTGACAAATTCTGTTTTTGGCCACATGAAAATGTCTTCATTCTACATTCTTCATTGTTTGTTATAGGATACTTTCACTGAGTATGGAATTGTGTTTTGGCAGGAATTTTCTCTCATCTGAAAGAAGAGATCATTCCACTTCCTTATCTCTTCCAATGTTGTCAACTAGTCAGATTGTTCCAGTTTTGGAAAATGTGTCGCATATATTTAAAACTAGTGGTCTCTGGATAGGGCAGTCACCTCTTTGTTTAACTATAAATCTTTTGATTATATAATTCAGAATTTGCACATCCTTTAACTTTCTCTGTACTTGTGCTATCAAATTCTGAGAGCTGTATTATATATTTTTCTACTGTAATTACATTTTTGTAAAAATGAAATATAGCCCTTGCTGGTGTGGCTCAGTGGCTTGAGTACCAGCATGTGAACCAAAGGGTCGCCAGTTCAATTCCCAGTCACGTCATATGCCTGGGTTGCAGGTCAGGTCCCCAGTTAGGGGCATGTGAGAAGCAACCACACATTGATGTTTCTCTCCTTCTCTTTCTCCCTCCCTCCCCCTCTCTGTAAAAATAAATAAATAAAATATTTTTAAAAAATGAAATACAGATCCTCATGAAGTTTGTACTTCTATAGTACATCCTTTATTTTTCTACTTAGTGGATTTAACTTTGAGTTTTATTTTTCTGACATTAATAACAAATGCCCTCTTTTTGTTGACTCAAAAAATGAAATATCTTCCCTTTTTAAAAAAATTATTGCCATTTTATTTTAAATGTGTCTGTGGTAATCAGAATTCTATTAGAGTTTTCTTTTTAAATCAGCCTGAAATTCCTTTGCTTTAATAACGGAATTCAGTTCATTCTCACTTATTATGATAATTAGTATGTCCTTATTCCTGCCATTTTATTTTGTTTTCTGTTCCTCGTTCTTATTTCCAGCTATTTCTATTTCACATTTTATTACCACTGTTCTACCTTCAGGTGATTTTGAAGTTGTACTTCCTGTTGCTTTGTAATAGAATAGTCTTTAATTTGACTTACAAATATGCTTAAACCTATATTTTTCTACTCACCTCAAAATTGAAATAGAATTGTTTTTCTCTGTAGTAAAGGTTTTCTTTTAAGTTTTTTATTTTGAAGTAATTTTAGGCTTACAAAATTGCTACTGGGAATTCCTATATACCCTTCACTTGGCTTCCAATAATGTTAACATTTTATTTGACCACAGGTCTGTTGTCAAAAATGGAAATTAACATTTATATAATACTATTAACTAATATTGATATAATACTATTAACTAGAATTTTATCAAGTGTTTCCCTAATGTCCTTCTTCTGTCTCAGGATCCAGTCCCAGATCTCACATTTCATTTAGTTATTGTGTCTCCATAGCATCCTCCAATCAGTGACAGTTCAGTCTTTCATGACCTTGATACTTTGGATGAGTACTATTTTTGAGAGTTTTTCTTATGATTAGATTAGGATTATTCATCTTTGGCAGAAATATCACAGAAGCAATATGTATGTTTCTGTGATATGATGCAACTTCTGTGCACCATACAAGGGTTTACTTGATGTTAATATGGCTTATTACCAGTATCGTTAATCTTGATCACTTGGTTAAAGTGGTATCTCTTATGTTTTTCCCCTGTAAATTTGTTTACCAAGAAATTGGTAATTATCTTGTGGGGAGATATTTTGAGACTATACATTTTGTCTACTTGTTCAGTACTGATCCAGTGGTGTATCTTGTCTATAACAGTAATTACAATAGTGTTGCCCACTACTGATTTTCTGCCCCTATTCTTTCTATATTTATTAATTGGCATTCTTCTGTAAGGAACAGCTGTCCCTCCTCCCTCTCCCATTTATTTACTTATTTGTTTGTTTGTTTGTTTGGTGATTTTTTTTTTCTGTCAGTATGAGATTATGGGTGTGTTTCGTACTCTGTGGGTTATGGTCACTACTATCATTGTTTATTTCAGTGATCAGTTATTTCAAATCGTTCAAGCTTTGGCCATTGGGAACTCCTTCAGGTTGGCTCCTGGGCCCTCTTAGCATGCCTTTATTCTTTAGTACTTCCTATTTTCTGGCACCACAACATATTTTAGACTTATCTTGTATTTTTTCTACCCCACCCCTGAAATCAGTCATTCCTCAAAGTAGCTCAGTTTCTTTTATTGGTGAATGGTATGAAATAGTATCTTTGAATTTTTTTTTCTTGAGCAAAGTAGGACGACCTGTACCATCTTTTACTTCTCTATGCTCTATTCTGGGGTTGGGCAAAGTACAATTTGTGGGTCAAATTCAGCCATGACCAGTTTTCTGTACCATTCACAACTATGAACAGTTTTTACATTTTGAAAAGGTTTAATATTATCAGGGGCAACCAAAAATAAACAGAATTTGTTTATAAACAATTATATATTCTCACATGTTGGAACTTCAGTCACCTTCAAAGTACTCTCCATTTGATGCGATACACCCATCAAGGCTTTTTTTCTACTTCTCAAAACAGTTTTTTAATTCATCAATTTTGGTGCCTTTTAGTGCTTCTGCTGTTTTTTTTTTTGTTGTTGTTGTTGTTTCACCTCTTCCACATTGACAAATCGTTTCTCTTTGAGGACTTTTTTAATCCAGGGAAACAAAAAAAAAGTCACTTGAGGCGAGACCAGATGAATAGGGAGGATGGGGCATAAGGGTCGTGCCGGTTTTGGTCAAAAACTGCTGCACACTCAGCAAAATGTGGGCAGGTGCATTCGTAAATCACCCATCATGAAATGGGCCAATGTTTAGTCTTTGAAAAAATTTCACTGAAGCCAAAAGCAGCCTTTCACAACAAAGCCATTAGGTACAGATGGGTTCCTACAACAGTCACCTAGTGGGGGAAGTCTGTACTGCGGGGGACCCTCACTCCAGGAGATAATTCTGCATTTTGGGGGGTCCTCCCTTGTATGACAGAGACCTTATGTAGCCCACAAAGCCTAAAACATTTACTGTTTGGTCCTTTACAGAAAAAAGTTTTTTGACCGCTGCGCAGATATACTTCCATTGTCACCCTACTCTATTTTGCTTTAGGGATCTGGAATTTAAGTTTCATAATATTATTGTTCTTATAACATTTAATAAATTTATAGTATGCTTTATTCTTCACTAACTATTGTGATATATAAATCAGTCATCTGCACACTGTGGCCTGTGGGCCAAATCTAGCCTGCCATGTGTTTCTATATGGCCTGTAAATCTACTGAATTCTGTAAATGCTTTCTAAGGGATGAACATACAAAATTAAAATCATATGCTCATGGGTTGATATAAGTGTTTGGCAATTCTAGCTATATGAAACATTTTCAAGATGAAATATGTAAAATCTCATTATAAATCAGCACAAACAGATGAGCATTTTCCATTAATTCTGATCCTGGAAAACACTAACCTTGAACTTCAGATAAGTGAAATGTTATCTCCCTCAGAAAAGGATTCTATTCTTCTCATTCATACATCCGTATTACAAAAAACATATACGTATATATATTCATTTAAGTATAGTATCACATATTATTGTCCTTTGAATTTCACCTATAAAAGCTTTGTGGCAACTTTTTTCTTTCATTATATAAGAGCCTACATAGTATCCTTATTTTTGCCTCTCAGACCACAAATATTTACCATCTGGTCTTTTAAAGAAAAGAAAGGAAAATGTTTGCCAACCCCTGATTTGGAGATACCGTTGAAAGTTCATGCTTGAAAAGTATATAGAATCAAAATTATATTTGCCATGCACCTAAACCAGCCTTAAATCACCAAAACACCTGCACTTCAAAGTTCAAAAACAAGAACAAACTTTCTGGCTTCGTACTTTAGCTCTAGCCTACATTTCCTTGGGAGGGTACATGCCAAGGATAAGATTGAATGGGCCTGATATGTTGATTTTCTCGGTTTTTCTTTGTCTATTAGTTTCCTGAGGCTTCTGTAACAAATTACTACAAATTTGGTGGCTTAAAACACAAATTTATCATTTTAAAGGTTTCTCTTTTTTTATTGGTTAGAGAGAGAGAAAAACATCCATTTTTTTGCTCCACTTATTTATACATATATTGGTTGATTCCTGCATGTGCCCACAACCTTGGTGCATCATGACAATGCTCTAACCAATTTAGCAACCTGGCCAGGGCCAAATTTATTATTT